AAAAAAAAAAAAAAAAATTAAGTCTGTATTTGAAGGTAACCCAGGAGATAAAATGTTAATTTTTCATCCTCCTGATCAAAGGAAATAAATTTAGTTCTAATCACAAAATTGCTATAGGTAGCCTTCAACATGCTGCTAAACCATTCTGAAGTTTCAATCTTCTTTTCATTGTAAAGGGAAGAGGTAGATCGTCAAAGCCACATACTCCAGAAGATTTTCTTGTTTTTTCTCTTACAATCGAAAGACACACGGACTGGAGACTCGACATCTCCGGATGAAGAGCACCTACTAAAAATTCCCGGATTTCTCTTGAGTTACACCTGTCAATGGCAGTTAAACCGCAGTTATCCGATTGGCTAATCCTCGCACCAAGTGACACCGTTGCCCTGACAACGTGTTCAAACTGGCCAATCACGGCCAAGTGTAGAGGAGTATACCCACAGTAAGTCTCTTGAACGTTTAAGTCCGCCCCGCAGAGAAAAAGCGCGGTTGCACTAGCTTCGTTACCACTTTGCGCCGCCACGTGCAAGGGCGTGTATCCCGCGTGATTCCGCGCGTGCACATTTGCGTTATAACGAGACAGTAGCTCTATGAACGCGTAATCGTTAAGCGTTGCGGCGAAATGAAGCGGTGTTTCACCAAAGAACACGCCGTTGCTGTAATTAACATTCGCTCCAAACTCGCACAGGAGGTGTACGGTGTCCAGCATGTTTTCTGATGGCGAAGCAGTCAGAGCCAGAAGAAGAGGGGTGTAATCCAAAGAATCAACGCAGTTGACGTCTGCACCGCGTAGCAACAAGTTCTGAATGTGTGTTGGTGGTGCGCTTGAGCGCAAAGCGTTCCTCAGCTGGCTGTTCAATAATTCTTGATCAGTGGAATGTGCAACGTCGTACTTGAATCTTTTAAAAATACTCTGAGATCCTGCAAACGGGGATAAAAATTTCAATCAGTATAACTGCAACAATTTCAATTATATTTAGTTCCTAATGCCAATAAATAGCCGCGCGAGCGAAGTTCACGATCACGTGACACTAACACGCACATTTGACTTCAGCCTTTTTTTTTTGCATTTTCGCGCGCGCGAAGATGGCGCAATTTCGGGACGAAATTGAAAAATATTTTTAACCTTTCCGTTAGCCTTTTTCTGCGTCCTATATCTCTCTTGTAATTGAATACCGTTTCCGCCTGTTTTAGGGTTTTTCCCCTGAGAACAGTACTAATGTAAGTTTCCATGGACAGTGGAAAAAACTGAGTGTGACTAAAAGAAACTGAGTCAAATCACTTCAAAAGACGCACTGAGATCATACATACAGAAAAGGTGATCACTTATCCGGCAGTTTTTCAGCATCTCTGGAGAAATAATTTCTAGTTTAATTATAGTTAACTGATCTAGAGAAATTGTACTAAAACACTTACCCTGTCCTTTAGTCAGTCTTCTAGTCCGCGGCATCTTCAGATCAGTGCAAGGCTCACTGTACGTCACTTGGTGTTTCTTTCGCCGTTACTTTCTGTTGCTTGCTTGTAATCTGCACAGTTAATGAAGATACAGACTAAAACCTGGGCAAGAGAAAATGTTCTCATGTTCCTGGGGCTATCTGTCACTGCTTCTCACAATTCAAAACAACCGAGGGAAAAACTGTGGAAACCAGTTCGTAAAAATGACGCGAAACTAATCAGGTAATTGAACACGTCAACAGCTCGTGCACCTTGCTTTTCTAATTTTCTTGACCTTTCTTTGCACTGAATAGAGCTTGAATGCAACAAAAAAGTTTTTATTTCTTCTTTCTTGTTTCAATGACATTTACCTGTAAAGCTCTTTTGGATGCTTTAGCTTAAATTACTGGGAACAGATTCACGAAGGCCTTTTAGATTAAGATGTCTCGTAAGTATTGTTCGAATACAGAAGGTGACTGTGAAGTAACTGAATGCTTACGCCTGGTTCACGTTAGCGACATAACGACATCGTCACGAACGACATAAAAAGGACGTTATGTTGACGTAAAAAGGACGTTATGTTTGTAGTGTGAACATGTAGACATAATGACATCTTAGCAACATAACGGTATGAACATAACAACATAAAGATAAAACTGATCTTTTCTTTTCTTTTCTGTCGTTATGTCGATGTCGTTATGTCGTTATGTCTCTAGTGTGAACTAGGCTTTAGGGTGCATGTTAACTGAGGAGAGCTTCGTAAATTGAGCTCCTGGACAATACAGGAAGAAACAGAATGAAGATAATTCCAGTTTTCTCAGGAAATTCTCTTATCTTAGCCGAGTTTCCGCAGGGACGTTACGTTTCCAATTCTTAATTCAGTCAATACTCTGGTACGTGGTGACAGTGTGAACATTCCGGAGGGTGCGATGTGAGTTTGTCGGACATCCTCGCCGAAAGTTGCCGTGATTCTTTGCGCCCTTGATCTTATGCCACTGGGCCGGAAATCCCGGAAGAATCTGGGTACGAGGCGGGTCGCGCGATTTCTTATTTCCGGCGAGATTAAATTCGGTAATTTATTCAAATTCACTTTGCAAATACAAATATTAGTACAAAGAAAGGACTAAAAACACCATGCGCGTTTATGTATTGTGAGGACGGAATAAAAGTTGGTTTGGTACATGATACGTAAAAAGCGTTAGATCAGAATTTTTCTGTCCTTTGTAAATATTTGCTTCGGTAAAGTCTCGTTCAATTGTATCTGACAATGACCTGTAAATATATCTCATTTAAAATGCAAAACTGGTACGCTAAAGAGTGATTCATGGAATCATCAACTGTGACAACAAAACTACGTTTATTTTATTTTATTGATTTGAAATCGATATATTTTTTTTTTGCTGTTTTGAAACTGGAACCGAAGCTGCGTCGGCTGTGTGGACCCATACATGTTTGTCGCATATCGAAACTTTCGAACTACGCCAAAAAAAAAAATGAGTAAATAAATAAATAAAAAAAATCATCGAAATGAGAAAAGTTGCCCGAAAAGTTTTTGTTGTATATTCACCATCTTTCGCTGCTACCGGTACCGAGGCAAACTGGAGTACAAGAACAATATAAGTACCTAACTTTAAAAGTATCTCTTTCGATAAGCTCGTGAGCATCAAATACAGGCAGATCTATATTTTTTTTTTTTTCGACAGCAGGCTTCATTGTCAAATAAGTTTCGGTTTTTCGTCTATCGCACAGACGTTTAAAAGGCCCAAAACAGCCATGGGGTATTTTTAAATCTTCTGCTACCTTTACAGTCGAGTACATTACGTCATAACAGTAATTTCTTACCTCTTTTTCGTCCTGCCCGGCAAAAATGTCTGTTCTATTTCTTCGCCATGTGCCGCCTTCATATCGGCTTTGTTTTGATTTTCTTTGTTTCTGGTGTCTTCAAACGCGCGGCACTGAGTACGAATCACTTGAGATGTCTATCGACCAGCGGTTAACTGGTAAAAGGCAAATTTTCAAACATGGCGGCCGTGGCAAGGCTGTCGGTGAATGGTTGTGCTGAAATAGAAAGTTTGTTAACGTTCTGTAAGATACCGACGGAAAGAATATGCGTAGAAGAAGGTAAAGAATTCTCGTCAAATAAGGTATGAAACTGTTGGTTCCTCGAGAAGGGAAAAGATTCCTTTTTTGTAGTGAGAAAATTTCATCTAAATGATTTTTGAGACATAGTTGTCTAAGTAAATGAAGAGCTAAAAGAAAACGACAATCAGTTAGTCGTTTTCAGTCATTAAATTGTAATAAAAAATGAAAATAAATAAATAGCCTTTATTATGTAATACATAAGCTTGATTTACAATTTATAAACCTCTCTTTAACAAGCGCATGTCACATGTTGATCTGGTAACAGTTTATGTGGAAAAATATTGAAACATAAAAAAATAAAATAAATAACAGTATACTGGCGTTAGCAATCGACAAAAACGCTTATTCACGGAATCTTGGCATTCCACACTGAATACCGATGTAGTAAATGAGTGCCAGCCTCTCTCTCAGGCCTATACTATTTGCCTTTTATTGTACCCCTTAGGGATCAAAACGTCTCTTAAAACTCTTTTTAAATATTCGTCTCGTCATTTTACTCAAAGGCAAACAGAATGTTGCCAAAAATTTAGCTTATTTTTACATCATTTTATAGCATTTTTAGGTCAGATCCATCATTTTTAAGGTTTTTAAAATATATATGCTGAATAAGATACTTATTCATGTACATGTGGAATATCAGTAAGCAAATCAAGGGGGATTTAAAGGTTGGACAAAAACCCCTTTCATCGGTGACCTGAAAAATTTTACATTTTGCCTTTCAANCGGCTTTGTTTTGATTTTCTTTGTTTCTGGTGTCTTCAAACGCGCGGCACTGAGTACGAATCACTTGAGATGTCTATCGACCAGCGGTTAACTGGTAAAAGGCAAATTTTCAAACATGGCGGCCGTGGCAAGGCTGTCGGTGAATGGTTGTGCTGAAATAGAAAGTTTGTTAACGTTCTGTAAGATACCGACGGAAAGAATATGCGTAGAAGAAGGTAAAGAATTCTCGTCAAATAAGGTATGAAACTGTTGGTTCCTCGAGAAGGGAAAAGATTCCTTTTTTGTAGTGAGAAAATTTCATCTAAATGATTTTTGAGACATAGTTGTCTAAGTAAATGAAGAGCTAAAAGAAAACGACAATCAGTCAGTCGTTTGCAGTCATTAAATTGTAATAAAAAATGAAAATAAATAAATAGCCTTTATTATGTAATGCATAAGCTTGGTTTACAATTTATAAACCTCTCTTTAACAAGCGTATGTCACATGTTGATCTGGTAACAGTTTATGTGGAAAAATATTGAAACATAAAAAAATAAAGTAAATAACAGTATATTGGCGTTAGCAATCGACAAAAATGCTTATTCACGGAATCTTGGCATTCCACGCTGAATACCGATGTCGTAAATGAGTGCCAGCCTCTCTCTCAAGCCTATACTCTTTGCCTTTCATTGTGCCCCTTAGGGATCAAAATGTCTCTTAAAACTCTTTTTAATTATTCGTCTCGTCATTTTACTCAGACCAAGGCAAACAGAATGTTGCCAAAATTTAGCTTATTTTTACATCATTTTAGAGCATTTTTAGGTCAGATCCATCATTTTTAAGGTTTTTAAAATATATATGTTGAATAAGATACTTATTCATGTACATGTGGAATATCAGTAAGCAAATCAAGGGGGATTTAAAGGTTGGACAAAAACCCCTTTCATCGGTGACCTGAAAAATTTTACATTTTGCCTTTCAAGCGATTATTATAATTTCCCCCCTCTCCCTTCTCTGCTTCTTGTATTTTTAGGGGCCATCATTGACTCTGAGTTCAGGTCAAACAGTAACTGGAGTGAGGACAATAGCAGCATACCTCTCTACCATATCACAATGTAAACTGCTTGGTAGCTCAGCTCTGGAACAGGCTCAAGTTGATCAGTGGTTGGAGTACTGGCAGACACAACTGGACTCTTATATAAATGATGGACCACTCTTGAAAGGCGAATTAAGAGTTAGTCAGTGAGATAATTTTTATTCTCTTGTTTGCTCTCTCTGGGATGCAGCTATTTTGCAAGCAATTTCCTCAAGAAATGCCCACTTTTTTATTAGAATACATTTTATAAGAATATCAAGGCTAAAATTTGTGAAATTCCAAAAATATTTTAAGAATAAAATTTAATTTGAAAAGAATTTAATATTTTGTGTTGAAAATTTGTAAATAAAAATATACAATTATATGTTTTTAGCTAAACCGTATAAAATTCTTTCTTTCTCTAAATGGCAAAACTAGCCAAAAAACAACAAAAACAGTTTGAGCTGTATGTTTGATACTAATTTCTGTAAGAAGTTATGTGTGTCATATCAGACTTAAATGCCTGCAGGCTGGCTCCAAAATTACTTCAACAACATACAGACACCAAATACATTCGAAAACAGAAATATCATTATGCTATAATCTAGGAATACCCACAAGACTATTTTTAGCCTAAAATCGGCAGAAAAATAAGAACATTCAGCCTCGACCAGAAAATGTTCTGCATTAAGCTTAAAATATCAATTCTTCTCTCAATTGTCACTCCTTTCTTTAAACATTAGTTTTGAGAATTGAATTTCATTGGTGGTATATCAGCACTGAACAATATCCTCTCTGAGAACCAGCTGTTAAGTTTAAGCAGCTTTTAAAAATACCTGATGTTTCATTGGCAAGTGTATGCATGCATTTCTGTTGAGGACAAGCAGTCCATGATCTAAGTTGCTCCTGGGATCAATAAGAGGAGAGTGAAAAAGAGAAAGGGAGAAATTCGGCTGTGTACGCTTGTTTTGTCATCTGTTCCTCCAGTTTTCATATGGTAATTTCTTCTCATGCATATGTTTCTCCTTACTTGATGATCAAAATGCAAAAGGATAGGCTGCTTTCCTACTACTCTTGAGACAAGGTTGTCCCTTGTATATACCACACTAACTGTAGCTGAGGAGCTGCCTTGAGGCAGGTCAGTGTTCCTTTGATTGGATCATTGTGAAAATGCCTATTTGTTGCAAGACTTTTGTTGGATTGTAACCATGGCTACCTTCATGCTGTAACAGAATTCACCCTTCCTTCAGCAAGCATGAAGACACTTTTTTTCAACCCTTTTTTCATAGGTGATAAACTTCAGGCTACCTGTAAGCTAAACAAAGCTAATCTGAATTTAATTTCTCCTCAGGATTTGAATAAATTCATGTGTGGGACAGTATATCTGGTGGGGTGTCAGCTGACACTGGCTGACATTATGTTGTACTATGCTCTCCACCCTGTGATGATGGAGCTGAGTGTTCAGGAGAAGGAACAACTTGTTAACCTTTCCAGATGGTTTAATCAGGTAAATTTTTCAATTACCAGAATATAATAATAAAATCTGGATTCCACTGAACTATTAGGTAGGGGCTCTCTATTCTCTATTCAGCCCTTCATCCTACTACGAAAATCACCAAACTGTGTCCAATAGGCTTGAAACTTTTGTACAGAGACTTCTCACTCTTTCTTTTGCTGACCCACCAGCATTCCTTTGTGTTTTTGTGAGTTGTGAGTTCCTTTGTGTTTTTGTGAGTTTTTGTGATTGTAAGAGAAGTTCAAACTAAAGGTGGGGAAAGGGAAAGAAGTGGATAAAATAATGTGTTAAGAATATTTTAACACATTTATCCACTTCTTTCCCTTTTTAGTGTGAATTCTTATCTTGTGTCCATCACTGCACTTCACTTACAGTCAGATGAATGCAAAACAACACAAAGGAATGTGGGCAGGTTCAGCAAAAAGAAAGTAAGAGTGGTCACTGTACAAAAATTCAAGCCCATATTCCATAGTTTGGTGATTTTCACATTAAGATCTTAAAAAGACATACAGATAAGTCCTGGGCACGGTTTGGAGATTTTACAGTGTGTGATATTTTTTAATATAACATTCAATGGATATACACGTACTGAATATTTACTGGTATGGGCCATTTCTTGGGCAGTAATTTGTGTTCTTTTTTTGTCACTGATAAACGCAGGTTCAGTGTTACCCAGGAGTACGACAATATTTGCCTGAAGTGCCATTTTTACGTAACCTGCTCTACAGCTGATGTTGCGTGATGTCTGTGGTATTAAGCTGAGATGTTTTAAATAATAAATTATGTGAATTTGTAATTGAACCGTTTATAGTAATATACATGTGTACTCATTAGCTCATGGCCTGCAGCATACCTGTAACACACAGACTGAATAGAAAATTACTATCTTTCAAACTGAATGTGAGTTACACTACATATGTAGGGCAAAATAACAGAGCAAGACAAGGGAGCATTACAGGCTCTTCTAAGAACCTACAGTGCATGCATTTTCCTCGTGTCCGTGAGTTATCAGTATTAGCTCGTGATTGAGGTAGTTTTGCTGTCTTTACATGAATGTCTTTAATTAGGAAAAGTGGGCGAAGAGAGGGGTGGAGGGAGCTGTGGAAACACTCGCCTGTCGGGTTGTGTTCCCCCAGCATTTCTTGTTCTCCAAACTTCCACTTGTGTTTCTATGACTCAAGAGAAACACGGTCAATGTTTTCTATTTCTTAAATAATAGTGATTTATAACCATTTCCTGAGTGTTTGAGTATGTTAGGGGAAGAAGGGAAGATGTGTGAATTTATACTTCACAAAATTCACAAAATGTTCATTTGTCAACCGATGTCAGGTTATTAAATTACCAGTTCAGAATGCCACACTAGCTACATTTAATTTAAGACAAATGACATGTGTTAATCATGCTACAATATTATTCTTACCATGTCTGTACTTGCATATTCAACTTCAATATCATTTTGATGAAGGACCCACTCAATCAAATTATACTGCATATTAAAATGAATTATATAAAGATTTTCCACTTGCCAAATGGCAATGTTGAGCTTACAATGAACTTTTGTACATCTGTATTTTACATCATGTACACCACCTTTAAAAAAATACTCCTATTTGTTGCTTGTTTTAATTCCTTTGTGGAACACCCTTTCTAGACTGTGGTAAATATTTACATGAAAATAATATCTCACTCTTATGCTTACAGCATAATAAAATACCTCTTAAACTTAATAAACTAAATACGAGCCTTCAGGGTTCTAACGGAGCTTTGAGTTATAAACTCTGACTATTTCTTTATACCAGCTTACTTGACTGCGTAATTATTTCATGGTGTTAACATCTCTTGGGTTTGAATTTTTTTGTTTATTACACAAAGGAAAATAAATTTCAAATGCACTCTGGTTTTTTAAACTTCAAACCAGAAACGCTGTTATAAACCACAACATAATTGAACACCAGTCTCACCAGTGACAACTGATTATTGCTTCTGTACATGTTAACCCAGTTTTTACTCAACTCAAAACAATTATAGTCCTGCCAATACTTGGCAATGCATAATTATTTAGTCTTTAAAGATGATTTCCAGTCCATACTGCACAGTCTCAGCACCCTAATGTTTGTGTCTCACTCGATGGAATGCGAATCGATGTTATTTGTTACGAACAACATACCTTATCTTTGAGGCCTTTCAAATTCTTTTTTCTCATAGCTTCATTAATTTTTACAGTGGCAAAGTTCTTTGATCAAGTGATATGAGAAAGAATGAAGCATTAGGCTTCGCATCCATAATGGCGCTTGACATGAAACTTTGAATTTACTTCATGTAAATAGTTGCAAAATGAAACAAAACAAAAACTGTAAACAAGCTCTTGAGAGTGCACAGTATGGACTGGAAATCAAGGATATATCAATGTCATTGGTTTCTGAGTTTTGCTCCTTGATGCTGCAAAACCAGGAAAAATGTGTCCTTGCATGCAGTATATACTAAGACTAGCATAAACGTAATAAATATCTATCAATGTTTTCCTAATAAATTTATAATTTATGTTTAAAACTGTTAGTCTAGTAAGCTAAAAACTGCATTGTATTTTGGGTTGACTTTGGCCCAGTTCTTTCTCGCAGTGCTTTTTCTGCTCCCATCCTCAGAATCATCATTAGCATTGTTGCGCTGCGCTTTAGATGAAGAAGCAGCAGTTAATGCCGCAGCAGCAGCAGTAACAGTAGCAGCTTTTTGAGGGTTTGGGTGAGGGTTTGAACCGGGGTTTGCCTGCTGCACTTGTGGTAGATGCTGAGCATTTTGGTGGACATTGAACGGCACTACTCTAGTACGGTTAACAAATCTGTCGCCAGACTCAATTTCTGAAATAAGTCGGCAGGTTCCACCAAGTATCAGCAGCTGAAAATATTTAAAGTATGATTAATGATTAATCAACAGCTTTACTGTTGTAACCCTTCACTGTGCAAAATCAAAAAGCATAAATTAAAACTTTTACTTAACATATAAGTCTTTTGCTTAAGTCAATACTGTAAACTACTTTTACATACAACACACTTTTTCCCAGTAATATTCTGGTTACCTGCAAAGCAGCCACAATAGCAGAACATGTGGCCAGAATAATATGATTAGCCTTTATCCAGTCCATGAGGTGTGTGTAACAATCCTGACAAAAAGTCCATTTTAAAATATTATTGATGTTTGATTGAATAATTTTGTCAAAATAATACCTTTCTTGACTGTCAGACTAATATCAACATCATATATAATGTGCTAAAATGTTAAATTAAAGTTGATTAAGTCATGATCTAAATGACTAATAATATGTTAAACTTACACATCCTATTTGGGCAGGCAGTGTTTATGATTAAAACCTTAACAAATGTTAGATTTGTAAAAATGTAAAAGTATAAAAACTAAATTTTCAGCAACGCTCTGTTTGCCTTCGTCAGAGTAAAATGGGATATTTTTTGTGGATTGCTAATGCCACACTCTAGTATTTCTACATAGTAGGGATGGATGTCATGTCCAGTCATTTCCGTGTGCAGTTTATTTGCCGATTCATTGTTTCCTCTTGTGCAAGGCTTGTGCTCTCCCCCCCTCTCCCCCCCCCCCCCCCAGAATTCCAAGAACTTTTGCTTTCGCCAATGTGTACAAACTAACACAATCTACAGTCGACTTTGTAAATAATTAGCAATCAACAAAAATGCTTACTCGTAGAATTTTGGCATTCCATACTAAATAACGATTCTGTAAATGAGTCCCAGCCTCTCCCAAAGGCCTATTTGCATTTTACTATGCCCCTTAGGCATCAAAACATGTCTTAAAACTCTTTTTAATTATCCATCTAGTCATTTTACTCTGACGAAGGCAACAGAACGTTGCCAAAAATTTAGTTTTTATACTTTTACATCATTTTTAGGTCAGATTCAGCATTTTTTTAAGATTTCAATGTTAAACTAAAATTTTTTTTGAAAAAATCAAATGATTGAAAAATGCACGAACTAGAAAGTTGTACGTAAATTACCATTGCAGTGCTTGACCAACAAAGTAAATTACATTGTGCATTTGCTAAATTACATTGTGCATTTGTACAATTTACCTTTAATCTTTCCTTTGTGGTATCGTTATCAACAAAACAGGATTTGTCAGAACTTGACTTGTGTTCTAGGTTTAGTGGCTTAAGACCGCAGCATTCAAACTATAAAGAAAATATTAATTATTAATAATAGTTATTAGTAGGTTAATACTCTCCTACAATCGGACAATGTAGGGACTGTCATCGAGTGACAGACTTTGAATGGAAACTGTCTTTCTGAGCTTCTGCCTTGGGAGGCTACGAAGTTAATTACTGACCGTGTTATCAGGTTCGTGATTTTGGGCCTTTAGCTAAGGAGGTATTCTCTCATTGGAGGCTGGGGTTAAGCTAGGATTATGAATTTTCAATGTCTCCCTGCAGAAGTGCACTGTCAGAGTAAAGTGTCGGCAAATACATGTAACCACTGGTCTCATGTAAGGTTTATGGTATTGTGCTGACTATGAAATATAGTAACATTGGGCAGAATACTTAAATTTTGAACTATAAAAAGGTAAAAAATAGTACCTCTTTTTGAATAATGATTCTAGCTTCATCGGATGTTTGGTTCCAGTTTGCAGTGATATGATCTGAGATCTATTTTAATGAAGTAGATGAAATAATTAAATGTCAAGAAATATTAGTTATAATAATTTCTATCCTAGGGCAGCTATTTCTGATGAGATTTGAACAGAAAATAAATTGTATATGGGCTGAGCACCCAGCAAATTGATCAGCTGTGAGGGCCATGATTGTGAGGAATATGATCAATCTATGCATTAGATTTTTTTGTGGGAGGCATGGTAGCCTCAAGGTTAGTGCACTCAACTCTAGATCAAGCAGTCTGGGCTTGAGCCCTAGCTGGGGAGGTTGTGTTGTGCCTCTCTCCACCCAGGTGTATAAATGGGTACTGGCAAATTTAATGCTGGGAGNAATACTCCTAGTCACTTCATGCTACAGAAACCAGGATAAACTCCGGCCTGATCGGCTACCTAGCTCGTATCCAGACTTTACCTTCGCCTTTTGCACATTAAATTTAGTCCTACATCCAATTTTATGTAGTGCTGAGGAAAATGTTTTTAAACTCATTACTCACCTTATCTTTCTCAATATAGAGATAGATAGCTACTCCAAGTTCCATCAGAAGTAACAGTAACATCAGGCCAAAGTACTGATAGAAAAACATTAAAAACATGCTGTTACGGAATTGACTTAATACGATATAATGCGGATGTGTCTTGACAGATTTAAAGGAGGATACCCCTCCTCTTGTTGTTTGGAAAGTTTTGAGCATCAGTGAACGCAAGTTAACCTGACACACAGTTGCCTGAAATTCATCCTGTTTCATTGTCATCTCTCAAGTAAAACTGATCAAGTTTTTTTTTAGGACCATTAGGAAGTATGAGTACCATTTAATTTGATACTTACCACTCTCAGAAGAGTTTTTTTCAACAAAAGGATTCCGCATGCCCCCATAAATCCTGCATAAAGGATAAAAAAGTTGAGTTACCGGGAATGAAACAAAATTAGTCAGTTCAAATTCATGACTCTACTTAGCTAGCACTAAGACTTTTATGTGGTCACAGCATGTATGTGGGTAGGAAAGGGGTATTGCACATGTCTTGATGTCATTTGTGGTGGGGTGGGGGTTGACAACTTTGAAACTGCTAACATTTATTAGAAATCCTAATCCCCTAGTATCTGTTAAATAACACAATTAATTTTATGAGAGGGAGATCAACAATGAACAAAAGAAGGGACAGAATAGTGAGAAAGGAAAGCCATGCTCCCCCTCCCCCTCCCCCGTCACAAAAAGAAACATTAAGGGGGTGAGGATGGGGGGACAAAAGTTGACCTGTTGTACTCACCAATGATAAATACAAATGATGACAGAACAATGTAACCAATTGTAACATACTGTTGAGAAATGGAGAACAAAATATATTTTAACCCAATTCATATCAACTTTCATAGCCCAAAGGCATGGCAAACGTTTGAAGAGAGAGATTAAATATTGCAGAATACTGCTGGATAGTTTGTGAAAAAGACACACATTTTTTCTAGATATGTACTCATGTGAATCTAGTGGAGGTGCCTGGGGTGGTGGGTGGGGGTTTTGGGGCCAGTGGGGTGGGGGGGGGGGGCATCTCTACTCTAATTCATATTTGCTTGGCCCTCCCTCCTGTACCCTGTGTACAGGTGTACCCAAACTGTCTCTACAAAATTAATTATGGTATTCTGGTAAAGCACTGTTTCACCCAACATTCCCCTTTGGGCAGAACAAAAGTAGCAAACTCACCAGATTCCCAGCCAGATGTTTGTACTCTGTGTCCTGTGTGGTAACCCATATGGCTACACCGAGCATGACAGCACCTCCAAGCTAATGAGAGAGAACAAAAGTCTGAGTATACACCCTTTTCCAAAATGTGGGGCAAGAGGTGAGCAAAAGGAACCCAACCCCAGGAGAAAGGGGCACGCTGTTACCCAACTCATAAGGAGTGGAGCATTTGATTCTTGGGGGAGGTGTGGGTAATTTTGAAAGCCAAAATATCCTGCTAGTATACTGGTAACCAAAAAAAAAAATGCACATGACCACTGCCGAAAAAACTTTCATGCACGTTCAGTGAGCCAAGAAAAGCATGTTACATGAGGAAAGAAGCATCATGCATACATGCGTTTCGCCAAACAAAAATTCCTAGTGCATGAAAGGATTAAAACAAATTAATGTTGATACCAAATTACCAAATTACCCAGTTCCCCATTCCCCTCAAAATTCAAATGGTCCATTCCTTATCCTTGTGTATTAGGGCCAGTGTATTGTCGTGGGACGTTGGTGGTGTTTTTAAAAAACACGTCAGCATGACAGCACCTCCAAGCTATTGAGAGAACAGCACAAGAAACGAACAGAATGTTAATGGTCTGAGTATGCACCCTTTTCCAGCACGTGAGGCAAGAAAAACGAGCCAAAATTTTCCCGGGGGGCGGGGGAGGGAGGGGTCATTATCATCATCGTCATCTTTATTTAAAAACACGGTAAATACATCAGGCATTAACAATTTAATATAAAAGCTACAATTTATTACGAAAGACTATGTATACAGATTAATCTTCTATAATTTAAAATATTGCTAACTATTAAAGAAAAGTAAACTAAATTAAAGCCTGTTTTACATGAGTGTCGTGTCGGGATTAATTAACAATCGTCGGAAATTAGTCAGAGATGCTGCTTGCCTAGCAGCTGAGGGTAGACTGTTCCAGATGACTGCACCACTATAGCCAAAGCTATTTTTGTAATGGTTAGTACGTGGCAAGGGAATAGCAAGCTTATTATCAGAATTGCGCAAATTGTAAGACGTTATCACATCACTTCGCTGAATGAATTTCGAGGAGAAATAATTGGGTGCGAGGCCATTTAAGGACTTACAGACCATCTCAGCCTTAAGTTTTTGACCTCGAATTTCTAAATAGCCATAACCGTGGGTACCCAGCATATTTTGAGTGGAGTTTGCATTCACCCGCGAAAAGAATCGTTCCTTAGATTTTAATCAGTGCGCGATCAAAAAGAACTATTGTTTGGTTGTCTGCGAGTTTGACATGACTTGCCCATTTAAGCTTTAGACAGCTGTTCACTGTGAATAAACGTTTGACATACAAGATGGAGTTCCACGCTCCTTTATCATTATAACCCTGAGTTATATCGATTTTTTTTACCTTCGCGTATTGCCTGAAAATGGCAGAGATTCGATAACGGTTTTCGGAAGACTTGCTTCTCTCAGCACTTGTTTTGAGCTGTCAGATACGTTTTTACTGAAGTAAGGTGACGATAAATCAACAGTGTTGTTCCAGACAAATTGCAAACCTTTGATTCCATTGCAATAACAATGAAGCTGTCAAGGTCATCGTTTGTAGCTAATGATGTTTTATGACCGCAATGAAATTATCAAGGCACCACCCCTGTTGACTAATATACGAAATTAAACATAAAGAAACGGTTTTAGTATGAACCGAAGGCTTGTCCGTAAGACCCAGCGAAACTGAATAAAAGCGGCAATAAGCAGGTTCAGTCCTTTTTTAATACAAAAGTCGGTATAATCCGACAATGGCTGAAATGCCGAGTCCACAAATTTTGAATGCGAAGGTGAAATGACAGCGACAGTTTTGTTGGAGTCCTCTTAGGTCTTCGGTATTGCGAGAACAAACTTTCAAACATGTCGTCCACATGCCGATCTCTTAACAAACTGCGGTTCTTAATACAGCAATCCCGCTAAGTCGTTCAAATTAAACTATTTGTGCGAAACATGCTGGTTATGAAAATATTGGCATTTGTAATAAGTGCGTGATCTAACTGGCAACGCCGGATCATATAATTTTAAAGACAACGCGGAGCACGCGATGTTAATTGCTTCCTTTGTTATTAGCAAGATCAAGTACAGAATTTCTCATGGTTTTGGTACGAAAACAAAACCATCCACTGCAGATTTGTACAGTATTGAGTTGTCTGTCAAGATACAGGTCGCTTAAAGTTTAATCGAACTTTATCACGTTCATTTGCCCGTTGTTCCAGTTCATTTCACGTGCGTGCTTTCACTAACAGACATAGTAGACACGAACACCCGCGAGCAAAAAATTGCGCGAAAACCGACATTACGCGCGCCTTTTTGGGTCCTCGGTTTGTACAAATCTCTGACACTATATAAAAGAATCCATATCGTATCACTTACCCAGACCAAACAGTTCAACATGAAGATACTCCATCGAACAAAGACCGAGCATTTATCCATATGAACCATGATGGTTTGGTAGTCACTGAGGACGTCTACCAACTCAAATTTAAACTACACAAAGGCTTTGTACGGTGCAGAATGTCTAGCCCCTTCATAACGTTGACAATTCTCGTGAAACCAGTCCTTTTGTAATCATGACAACGACAAATTTGTATTCAATTCCGGAAACATACGCAAAACTGCGTGCTTTAGGGCTGCCAAAGTTATACGCTTGATCAAATGTTTTGTAATGCAAACCAGGTCAGGGGGTCAGTTTTTCGAGACTGAATGAAAGCTTTCAAAGGGTGGACATTGTTTCTTGAAGCAAATGCAATTAAGTTATATTCAGTCTTGAAGCTTTTCAAATATGTTCATATGCGCTAGCGTTTATGTATTCGACAGAACTTAAAAGAAATTGTTTTCAACTATTTGTACCATATCCATCAGCCGAACGCCCTGAATTCACGTGCAACTGATTACATGCGCATTACAGTTTAAAGAAAAGAAAGCGTCTGCAATTTTAATTTCATGGTTATTTGATAGCCGCCATCGAAAAGTATAAACAGACTTGGAAAGTTTGTGCTCGAACCTTAATTGCATTTTGCCCAATTAATTGATGTGTTCTCCAAATCACTCTGATCTGCCAAACAGTTTAAATAAACTTGTGTCAACATTGAAGTTATCCCTGATGGTAAAAGAATGCCTGATGCAGTTTTCTTTTAGCAACTCTGCACTGTCACAAGGCATGATTACAACTAAACGAGTTGAAACACTTTGGCAAACTTTATACTTACCAAAATCAAAAACGAAAGTGTGAATAGAGTGTACTTCACACAAAGACCCATGTCGTAGTTATTTCTAAGATGTGCCCCAGCAGTCAGTCTTGACGTTTACAAACTTGCAGAGCAGATTGCTTTCAAGGATAATAACGGGCAAAATACGCCAGCCTGAAAAGCGATTTTCTCTCAATAAACTCCCACGTCAAAACAATTTGCTCCACTGAACTGGAATGTCTGACGTCACTCGTACAGTTAAATAATGTCTCATTCGCTGATAATTATAAACTCGGCAGCTTCTTATTCTTATTTGAAAAGAATAGTTTTCAAAAGGAAAAAAGCTATTGGTGAGCTTTCATAAATTTCACAGTGCCGGGCAGTTCGCCTTAGTTATTTTAGTCCTATTTTTAATAGTCCATTGGACCAGAAAATATTGCATCTTGGCCTTTAATATAGAAACACACACAAAATCAGCTATTAGTACAGTCGAACCTGTATACGAACGGCCACCCTCGGGACTTGAGGAACTGGCCGCTTAATACAGGATCACTAAAAATACTCACTGGGCATGGTCTAATGTCAATTTTAATGGCGTATCTACAAAAACACTTCTTACAAGGAAACAATAGGACAATCAACACTCTTTCAAGCGACTAA